CCTGCTGACATCATCATCGCTAATCATTATGACACAAACCATAATAGTGTCAACATCCCATCATCTCAAAATAAGTGATCGATTTTAAAAAAATTGACCACAGCTTGGGCAATTATAGATTCCAAACATAAGCCTTATCAGCACCTCTTGCGATAAGTATATACAACGGAATCCACCATGTGCGCCTCACATGAAATGATTTAAGATCACTACCTCTTGCGCAATAACCTCTCTAAAGAATATTTTTGGTGACCAATTTGCGTTCATTCTTAATGCGCCCAACTAGCGCATTGAATCTTACAAGGAGCAAATTAATATGCTTCTAATAAAGCATTTTATCCACAGTCTAATGAGCAAGGTCAATGTCTAAACAACTCAGTTGACCATTTACCAAAGATAACACTTATCATGCGAATACGCCCACATAGCGTACTTTAGGCTCCACAACAAAGAAAAAATCAAGGAATATAGGTCATTTGTTTCTCCCAAAGACTATCCGAGGATTCACTTAATAGCTAAGACTCTGACTTTTACCGATAGGTAGGTCAATGGATTTGCAATTTTGCATCTAGAATCATTCTAGGATATTCTCTATGTAAGTCATCAAAGACAAACCGAGAATTTTCTAAAAACAATCCCTAAGATCATACATCGAGCATATAAATTACATCCCATGTCCATCATATCTAAAATAGACGACTGCCCACCCTAGGTGGCGACAACCTTATAAATTCCTGGCTCATAATGACTAAGTAAGAAAAACTTCTTTTTGACCATTGATCATGCCTCAGTGGTCTTCATCGATCGTCGTTGGATCACTCTTTTTGGAAGAGTTACTCCACCGTAACATGTATTCATACTATATGTGCTTAGCGACCGAGTAATGAGGTGAGAGAATGGATCCCTGCTTCCTCACCGTGTGAGTCTTACGCGTCATTATTGATGTGACTTTCATTTATGTACCCTTTTGTGACTTTTGACTATGTCATAAGGTAAGGGGTTGATGTTCTGCCACTTTGGTATGTTGCCTGCGGTCATGCATGATTCGATCTTAAGGGACATTACTGGGAAAGCGGTCAATCCTAAACTAAATGGCATGAGTGCAAAGGGAAGATTATCTAGTATTACACCACTGTTGTATATTCACTGCCGGCAACTCACATCGCTCTGTATGAGAGGCGAATTGAGTGTGAATATATTGCAAGAATTGAGAGGGTCAAACATGCTCTTTTTGAGGGATTAGAGATGTTTTTTGGACCGGTGTAATTAGATGGGTCTGGGGTATATGAGACACTATTTCTGTTCTTTTTGGGTTGATGTCTCTATGCTGGCTCATTTTGAGTTTCTAATATAGAGCTCCCACATGCAGGTGTTCTCAACAGTCGCACGGTGCAGTGGCTAGTATGAGATTGTTTATTTTTGGGAAATTGAGATAGAGATATGGCAGTGTCGTGCCAACTCATGTGCGAGTGGGAGATGTTAGTAATGGGCGCCCATGTGGCATGACCATTTGAATTTGAATTAGAATCTTATCCAAATAGGTTTTGAAATTGAATTCAAACCTATTTAGGATAACCACTCAGGATACAGATATTATCTCCATTAACTGATATGGATAGATAATAATAACATATTATATATCTGGTATATGGGTTATGGGTGAAATGTCTTGAAGAAGTCAAGACCATGCACCAAAACGTTCTTCTAGGGCGACAACGACGGGTGAAGGAATCTCGCAAGGTCCACCGCCACCACCTCCGCCTCTGCCTCCGCCACACCTCTTCCTTCTTCTCTCACACCTTCTTTGATTGTCTCTCTCTATACTCTGTCACTAGCGCCAGCTCTAGTTGACACTTTCAGAGCCATCTCACATTTTGTTTGATGATGGTTTCACCTTTGGAAAAGCCACCGACCACCGTCGTCTGCCGTTCCACTGTTTTCCACTGCCTTTCATCTATTTGAGTGAATGAGTATGTGTTATGTTTAGGTTCATCCATTGTCATAGCCAGTGGAAGTGTACTACCTGGTTCGGTTCTTTCAGTGTAACGGTGGTTGCTTGCAGATGATGTCAAGTCTGGATGTCATGGTGGAAGTGTACGACAATGTAAGTATACTGAAACTTGGGTTTAGCTACAGGAGTTGCGTGAATTTCCATTCAAGGTGAGTCTACGCCGGTCTTGTGGTTATGTTTGAGTATGGAGTGCACCTTCTGCTTCTATGCTGAGAGTGGCGTTCATCCAACTCTGAGTGGAATCGCAGATTGAACTGGTTTGGCCGTGTAGCTGGAACTGATTTACAGTGTGGCTGGGTTTGGCTTTGCCTGCGGCTGACCGATGCAAGTTTGTCTTCTTCAACGTAACCTTGCCTCTTCTCTGATATTGGTTTGGTTCTACTCCGGCTTGGGCTATGTTTTGGTTCCGATTTATGGCTGCCTTGCTGGTTTTCCCGACATTGTGAGGTTACGTTTTGCGCCGGTGGTGTGCTGGTTTGGGCTCAATGCTCGATCCTGAATTAGGTTGACTCCATCAATGCTATTTCCCTTTTCTCTCTCTCTCTCTCTCTCTCTCTCTCTCTCTCTTCTATGTACATATATATATATATATATATATCATTGAGTTAAAGTGAGTTAACTCACTTTGAGTTAGATGGATTAATCATTTAGTTAATTGAGAGTGAGAACAAGTTGACTTTTTTGCCCTTAAAAACTCTGTACATGTTGTCCACGTGCAAATTTTCCGTCTAATTTCTTAACTTTATTTTTCAATTGGACCAAAGTAATACATAATTCAAAATTTGAGGCCAAAATCTAGCAAATTGAAATTAGAGGGATCAAAATAACACAATGTGTAAACAAGAAGAACTATTTGCATAATTTGCCTAAAAAAAAATGGAGAGGGATTTTGAGACGCTACAACATATAAGAGTTTTTTCGACTAAATGTTTTGCTCTCTAAAAGTGAAAATTTTGTTACAAAAGACATTTAGGGACCAATTTCCATCGTCATGAGAATAGTCGCTAAAAGGTCGTCTTGAAAAGTAAAAAATAAAGTTTTTTTTTTTTTTTTTTTTTTCAGATGATTTTTTATCAGCAAAATAAATCTTTATTAATAAGAAACATACTAAGTATGATAGAGTACATCAATAAAGAGGAGCTTGGAGCTAGTTCAAGCTCCAAGTTCCAAGTTGGTGAGAAACCAACACAAAAAGCAAAACAAAAACAAGTTGTTGGATGATCCACCCATCAACAGAAGCCAAAACAAACAGCTCAGCAAAACTGCAGTGAACAAAAACAATCTAGATGCAGCCATTACAGAGAAAAAACAATCTTCTAAACGGCAAGCAGATTAATGCTCATCAAGCCTTTAGCAACCAGATTTTACCTAAACCTTTAACAACCAGATTATACATAGTAGCCATAACAATCAAAATAAATTGATTACGATCACTCTACATCCCAGCTATGTGCTTGTGAACACAACAAACGGCAGCCAAAACAATCAAAATGAGTAGATTACCACTACTCTGCATTCCAACCAAAACAAATGACCATCCCCATTAAATTCCTCCGATTTGACTCCACTAGAACACAAAGTCATCAACTAAGAATGGAAAATCCTTTATAGATGCTTTGAGCCAAAGAGCTGTTCTAATTTTGATGAGCTCACTCAGACCAGAGGAGTTAGGTTGGACCGAAGAGAAGACACACTCATTACGTTGTTTCCAAAGAAACCAAAGAACCACTAGGGGAATAGCTGTCCAGATTTTCTTTTGAAGGCCCTTAAATTTTCCATCCAACCACCAGTTGAAAAGTCCTTCCACTGATTCTTGAATGCACCAATGAAACCCCCAGTCCTAGAGCACAGCAGACCAGATGAACCAGGAGCAATGGGAGTGAAGCAGGACATAAACTGCAGATTCAACTTCGGAGCTGCAGAAAGGGCAAAGCGAGGAAACGCTGCTACCTAATATGCCAAGTCTATGCAAATACTTTGTTATTTTAATTCTGTTTTTCTAGGCAAGCCAACCAGAAAGGAGAACTTTGGGGGGTAATGCCTTATTCAAAACAAACTTGTTGATACTGAGATGAGGGCCAAGAAGGGAGCTGTTGTAGGAGTAAAGGATAGACACAGAGAAAGAGCTAGAGCCTGCAAAGGTAGTTCCCCAAACTTAACAGTTGACATTGTCTTGACACAGGGGAGACGCTGACGATAAGATATTAAAAAATCTGTTTTCTGCAATCAATTCCCAGGCATATAACACCCTTCTATAAGGAAAATTCCAAAAATAGGGCATTTAGCGACGAAATTTTGAAATTGTCACTAATAAATAGACTTTTAGGGACAAAATAATTTGGTTTCAAAATAGTTTATTTTTTGAGATAAAAAATTTGGTCCCAAAAGGATAATAATTTATCACTAATGCCTAATTTTTATTGCTAAAAATATAATGATGACACTTTTCGTAACAAAATTATTTAGTCTCCAAAAAATGATTTTATCTCTAAATTTTAGCCTCTAAAAACTTAATTTTTTGTAGTAAGATAGGGAACCAGAGATATTTGGATAGTGAATTTCTTGCCAACTTTGAGACATAAAAGCAAACACATTTCGAAGAGAATAATGCATTGCACGTCTTCTTTTTTTATTTTTTTTTTATTGTTTCATTTATTTTGTTTTTTTGTAGGAGCAATGAATCAACTCACAAAAAACTTGGCTTGCGAGTGGGCAAAGGACAACATTCGAGTTAACACAATAGAAAAATATAATGATGACACTTTTCGTAACAAAATTATTTAGTCTCCAAAAAATGATTTTATCTCTAAATTTTAGTCTCTAAAAACTTAAGTTTTTGTAGTAAGATAGGGAACCAGAGATATTTGGATAGTGAATTTCTTGCCAACTTTGAGACATAAAAGCAAACACATTTCGAAGAGAATAATGCATTGCACGTCTTCTTTTTTTATTTTTTTTTTATTGTTTCATTTATTTTGTTTTTTTGTAGGAGCAATGAATCAACTCACAAAAAACTTGGCTTGCGAGTGGGCAAAGGACAACATTCGAGTTAACACAATAGCGCCGGGCCTCATCAAAACCTCACTTGTTGATGCCGTGCAGGTACAAATCTTCATCTACTTTTCCTAATCATATAATTTCAAAGTCTATTCTCCCCATTTTAGAGGGGCTCTTTTGACTTTTCCAATGGGTTTGCTAAATAAGTTAAAGAAAAAAATTATATAAGTCCATTTTATAAATCTATTTTTTAGAATCAATAATATGTCAATAAAATGATTGATTGATGATTAGAAAATAAATGAGAGACAAAATTGACTTAGATATTTTAATAGAGTACCACATCATTGAGTTTCAAAAGTAGGGCTGCAAATGAACTGAACTATTCATGAACAAGCTCAGCTCAGTCCGTTTAGTAAACGAGCCAAGCTCAAGCTCGCACGAGCTCGGCTTATAAAGTTATATTTAAATTATATAATAAATATATTATTTATATATTATATAATATAAATAATATATAAACACATATAAATAATTGTATAACTACATTATTTATATATTAAATAATATTCTTTATTTAAATATTTTTATTTAAATAATATAAATAATATTAAAAAAAAAATTATCGAGTTGATCGAGTCGAGCCGAGCTCAAGTTTCATTAATGTTAACGAGACAAGTTGAACTCGAGCACAGTTTCTTATCGAGCCAAGCTCGAGCTCAATAAACGAGCTCGATAAGTAAACGAGCCGAGCTCGAGCTCAGCATAGCTCAGCTCGACTCGGTTCATTTGCTGCCCTACTCAAAAGTGGATTTAACTTTTGATCTTAAATAGTAATGCTCATAAGTTACAGATTTTTTTAGCAAAATTTATTTTTTAGTCAATAGTTTACTTTCAAACTACAACCAAACAAATAAGCTTGCTTTTCTAAGTATTAACGATCAACTTTTCTTGCAAGCGAGAAATATGTAAAAATAGTAGACAAATTGCATCGTTAGTCAATAAGCTGTTTTTTAAACTACAACCAAACAAATAAGCTTGCAAGTGAAAATAACTATACTATTTTTACATATTCCTCGCTTGCACCGGATACATATTTCGATAACTCTTTATTAATTGAGAATTTTTTTTTTGTTCCTCCCTTCTCACATTAGTTAAAAATCCTCTTCTTTACAGCAAAATCCTCTTGATTTGGAATGGACAAATGGCGTAGTATCTCGTACTCCTATCGGCCGAGCTGGAGAGGCTAATGAGGTTTCACCACTAGTAGCATTCCTTTGCTTCCCTGCTGCTTCATATATCACCGGTCAGGTCATTTGCGTTGATGGTGGATTTACTGTAAATGGGTTTCAGCGCTAGTTATACTACATGAATTCAGGAATGGATATCGGGTGCGAATACCGGTTCAAATGTCTTATCTTTTTAAGTTTAAATATTAAGGTATTTGCATATGCATCTAATAGTTGGTATGAATACAGAGACTTGATTTACTATCAATGTCAGCATCTTTTTCAAATATCAAATAAAATTAGAGGGATTCAACTTCAAGAGTCTAAATTAGGTACATGTTTCGTACAAATTTCTTACATAGTGTTTTCATGTATGGTAAATACAGGGTACACTAATCAACACAAGTATAATGGTGAACTAGAAGAGTCCATGTAACGTAAACTGTTAGCCACTAAATGCTAAAAGAGAGGAGAGAGAGCATGAATAATGAAAAGTCATGAAAATGCTACTAATTTTGTGTACTATATGAATAATCTTCAATTTATTAGTCATAGTTGTTTCTGATTACATCCTTGTGGTGGTTAAACTATATTCTACGGTCATATTTCTTTGGGATGATATAACTTTAAAATTGAACTAATAATCTAATAATATATATAATTTATTATTTGATTAAAAAAATTAAGGTTCAAATTAAAAATTCATCCAGATGTGGTATCCTCAATATTGGGGATTATTGAATTTGAGGAAGGAGAGTGAGGTACAAAATGAATGACTAAGAAGAAATTCGAAATACTTTGGGTTGTTGCATGAAAATGCAGATAAACTGGTTTCTTCTATATTAATTTCTAACAAGAAGAAACATAATTGATTTTATGAATTTTATTGTTCTGTTCCCAATTTAATTAGTTATTGGTAATAAAAATGTTTCTAATATCAACAGTAATAAAAAAATAATAATAAATAAATAAAAAGAAAAAATCTGTGTATAAAATTTCGATTTTGCTAACTGTAATTGCGGATAATATTTTAAACAATATATTATCTTATTGAAAGTTGATCTTGGGAAACATTGTTTAGTTTGACTTGAATAATTGGTTTAAACTTTAAATCTATATTAAAAATTGTTTATCAAGTGTTCTCTCCATGGTGTGAATCATAGTTCTGTTTCAGAGCTTCTTTCAACAAGAAGGGGATGAGCTACCGGAAAGGAAATCAGTGACCCCGGCGATAGAGCGAGGGCAGAGGGTTGCATCCTATTCATGATTTAAACTTGTTGGTGATAATTATAAATAAAATATCAGAAAATACAAATAATAAAAATTACAATAACTATTGTAAGGGCTGAGGTGCGAGAAATTTGCTCTCTTTAAGGAGATTCAAGTCCTTTGCGGTTAGGCAAAGCTTCACACCGATGCAACAGAAAAAACCTTGACTTGTCCCCCCAAGATACAATAGCCCGACTAAGTAGGTTAACCAATACTGTACAATTGGTTGAATCCAAAACTTTATCACATACACCCTTTTTTATTTTCCTGATAATCTCACACAAACATAATAAAACAACAAACACTTCTTCTATGTATATATATATATATATATATTGAGCTACCAATAAGAGAGGTGAAAGGCTTAATTTATAGGAGAGGAATGCTTGGTCATCAACAAAGGGGTTAACTTGGAGAAAAAGTATAGGAGAAGAAATTGGTGGGAAATTTCCTTGGAGGCTTGGTGGATAAGAATGAAGACTTAGCTTGAGGCAAAGACATGGAGATAAAGAAAAATAAAACTTGGAGGGAAAGAAAGGAAAATCAAACCTATAACACATTATAATATTAAAATATCTGTTAACATTCCCTCACCTATTTTAATATTATAGGTAACAAAAATTGAGATTATTAGGCAAATAAGGATATTATGCATCATGGTAGGTGTGTTCTGCATTGAACCTCCATTAGTGAAACAATAATATCTACTCTAGAGCCAATAGTATGCTCAGCATTGAACTATGACTGCTTAAGGGAAATAAATAATTATTGCACACATATAATATTCTAGGTGTTTACATAAACTTTAAGAGCTAGCACATTACGGCCTTGTGTGATCCCACGATTCATGAGTTTGTTTGAGAATTAGCCCAAATCTCATATGTAGCGGCCCCACTACCACACTCACATAAGTGAAATCTATCAAGGGTACTCCTGTAACTATGACACCCCACTCAATAAGAGCTACAGAAATTCATTAAGAGTTTTTTAATAGCTCAACCTTTACAACGTTAAAGAATAAATGCACTTACATCATAGGGATGGGTAAAAAGTAATTTAGTGCATTTCTCACGGCCATCATATGATCGTTTTTCTCATTGAACCCAATTACAGGATCTCTGGTCCCTAAGTTGAGTATCCTCATACATGGCTCCTGCTATATTCAATGGGCTTCAACTTCATCCCCCTCGATGTATTCCAAACTCTATCTCTTGCTAAGGCCTTAGTTAATGGATCTGCAAGATTATCACCAGATTTAATATAATCCACATTTATGATGCCATTATTTGTATAAGATTTCACAGTATTGTGTTTTCTTCTGATAGGTCTGGATTTACCGTTATAATAACGGTTATTAACTCAACCAATTGCTGCGATGTTATCACGATGAATCAATATAGGTGGAATCGGTTTTTCCCAACAAAAGATTTCATTTAACAAGTCTCTTAACCAATTTGCTTCTTCACTGGCTGTAGCTAAAGCAATAAGTTCAACCTCCATTGTTGATTAGCAATAATGGTTTGTTTTTTTCGATTTCCAACTTATAGCACCACCTCCCAAGGTAAACAAGTAACCACTGGTTGATAATGAATCACTTGACAAAGTATTCCAATTGGCATCACTGTAACCTTCAAGTACTGTAGGATACTTATTATAAAACAAGCTATATTTTATGGTACCAGATAAATATTTCATAATCCACTCAATGGCTAGCCAGTGATTATTACTAGGCTTGCTAGTAAACTTGCTAAGTACTCCAACTGCATAGGCAATGTCAAGTCTAGTACAGTCAGTCGCATAACGCAAGCTACCAATCATACTAGCATATTCCTTTTGATTAATTACATCCTCATCATTTTCAATAGGAAATAAACGCACATAAGGATCAAAAGGAGTAAGAAAATGCTTGCATTTATAAAAATTATATTTTCTCAAATTTTCTCAACTTAATGTGACTGATTAAGAAATATATCATCACAAGTTTTGGTAATTTTCATTCCCAAAATATAATTAGCCTCACCAAGATCTTTCATATCAAAATGGCTGCGAAGCATATTTTTAATTTCCACGATGATATGCAAATTAGAGCCAAATATAAGTAAATCATCTACATAGAGGCTAATAATGACACGTGAATTTTTTTCAGATTTATAGTAGATGCATTTATCACATTCATTCGTTTTATATCCATTCTCAATTATGCATGAATCAAATTTCTCACGCCATTGTTTAAGAGCTTGTTTTAAGCCATATAGGGATTTAACTAGCTTGTACACTTTGCTTTCTTGACCGGGTTCCACAAAATCCTCAGTTTGATCCATACAGATTTCTTCACCCAAGTCTCCTTTTAAAAAGGCTGTTTTAACATCCATTTGATGAATTTTTAGATCATGAATTGCAGTCACTGTAATTAATAATCTAATGGATGTAACTCTAGTAACTAGAGAAAATGTATCAAAAAATTCAAGATCTGCTTGTTGTTTAAAACCTTTTGCAACAAGTCTTGCTTTATATTTATCAATAGTTCCATTCGGTTTAAGTTTTTTTTCTCAAAACCCATTTACAGCCAATAGTTTTACAACCTGGTAGTAAATCTACTAATACCCAAGTTTTATTGGATAATAATGGTTCCATCTTATCATTTATAGCCTTGTTCCAAAAAATAGAGCCAGGAGATGCCAAAGCTTCTTGTAAAGTTAATGGAGTTTCCTCTACAATAAAAACATGATAATCAGGGCCAAAATCTTTTTCTAATCTGGCTCTTTTACTCCATCTAGGTTCAAAAACTACAGTATCTTGGTTTTGTAAAAGATGAGTAAAAGAACTGGTTTAAGATCAAATATTTTCTTGATAATTTTAACCTCCGCCATTTTTAGATTTAAAAGGAAAGTTTTCTTCATGAAAAATTGTATCATCGGATTTAAAAATTATTTTATTTTCAATATCAAAAAATCTAATAGCTTTACTATTTGTTGCATATCCAAGAAAAGCACAAGTGACAGCTTTCACTCCTAATTTAGGTCTTTTAGGGTTCACAAGTCTAACAAAAGCTAGAGAACCCCAAACCCTCAAATATCTCAAATTTGGCTTATGCCCTTTCCACAACTCAAAAGGTGTAAATTTTGTTTTTTTATGTGGCACTCTATTCATAACATGACATGCAGTTAAAATTATTTCTCTCCACAAATTTGAAAGAGCATCTGCTTCAATTAGCATAGCATTTGTTAAATCAGTTGAAGTTCTATTTTCCCTTTCTGCTACACCATTAGATACAGGTGAATATGGTGGAGTAGTTTCATGGATTATTTTCAAAGACTAAGAAAACAAGTTGAATCCAAAAGATTCATACTCCTGGCCTCTATCACTTTTATATCTTTTAATCTTTTTACTGAATTGATTTTCAACTTCAAGAAGAAATTCTTTAAATTTTTCAAAAGCATCACTTTTATTTTTCAACAAGTATACATAAGTTAATTTTGAAAAATCATCAATAAAAGTGATAAAATATTTATTTCCACCACGTGTTAAAATTCCTTCAAATTCGCATAAATCAGTGTGAATTAATTCTAACAATTCAGTATTTCTTACCACACTTTTATGAGGCCTTTTAGTTATTTTTGCTTGACTGCAAACTTCACATTTCTCAAACTTATTTGTTAGTTTGGGAATTAATCCTAAACTAGTTATGACTCCCACATATCGGTTATTAACATGGCACAAACGAACATGCCAAAAATTCATAGAAGACAACATGTAAACAGAAACATGTGCTTTCTTATTCTTAACATTTAATTTTACATATTGGTCAGATTCAATAGTCTGCTTGAAACCAGCTTTGTTGAGCAAATAACTCGACATAAGATTTTTCCTTATGGACGGTGTGTACAACACATCTTTTAAAATAAGCACACGTCCAAAGGTAAATTTCAGCTCAACATCCCCACACCCGAGCACCTTGGTTAAATTAGAGTCACCAAGCATAACAGTCATCTCCTCATTAAAAGGAGTGAAATCGTTGAACCAATCTTTATCATAGCAGACATGCCTATTGGCA